TTATCTTATATATAACGATCTATATAATAAGCTAATATCTTTATATTTATAGTAAGTCTACTATAATAGTAGTAAACGTATAATCTCTTTATTAAGTATATTAATAATATATATAATAAGCTTATTATAATACCGACGAGAATAGACCTAGTAAAACGACTACGATTCGATCTCTTTACTAAGTATATTAATAATATATATAGTAAAGTCTACTATTAAATAATATTTAATATATTTAATTATTTTCTATCTTTCTATTAAATCTACGAATTAGTAATAAGTTAAGATAAAGAATAAAATAAATAGACTTAATAATAAGAAGGCTGCCAAAAGGTGTTGGAGGCGAATATATACGTTAGATTTTCTTTAATTCTATCGAAGGACTATAGTAAGAAGATTAGATAAGAAGAAGAATTCGAAGAATCTTACTAGCACGCAAACAAGATATAGCTATATCTCTAATATCTCTGAAGAACATGACAGGCATAGCACAGTCAAGACCAGCATACGGCCCGGCAAATCCTCGGACATAGTGTTTTTAAACGAATTGAAACCATTCGATATCTACCACTACACCTCGGCAAATCGTCTCCGGTCGAGGCCTACACGGACTATAGATGTTTAGAGACACAGGGCAAGCAATAGGCGTACATCTTCGGTCTACCAGCCATGGGGATTATGGCTATTGAGAGGGGGGTAGTATTATAAGCGTACCCTTAACACACCACTCAGCCCTATAGCTAGCGGGCCTTAGCGGAGGCATTCCCTACTATATCATGCCTCCTTCCCACCTACATAGTTCGGTAGCCTTATTATCCTCGTTCTACCTCACCCATACTAATATTACATCTATGCTAGTTCTAACATCTTTAGATTTCTATTTTATTTTTTAGTAATATTAAGAATAAGCTAGATAAAATATTAAAGAATAAAGATATTATAAATATTATTATTATTATTAAAAGAATTTTATTATTTTTAGAAGTTTCTTCTTTATTAGTTATAAATAATAAGATAATAATAAATATATTTAGAGAAGACTCTAAGACTATAATTTAAAATCCGTTTATAAATTTAGAAAATCTCGAGATTAATTATATTTTAAATTTATCTAAACTAAGTAATTAGAAGAGTATTATTTCTAATATATTAAATCTATTTATATCTAATTTATTAAGATACTTATAGCGAATTAAGAATAAATTAAAGAACTATTATATTATTTAAAATAATAAATAAATTAACTTCGATATTTTAAAAAAAGGATTTACTAAGTTAATATAAGCTATATCGCTTATACTCGATATTAAACTTTATACTTATAAAAAAGTAATTAATAAATCTAAAGTATCTTAATAAATAATCGTTATATAGAAATAATAAAATTTATTATAGAAGATAAAGATATAAAAGCTAGTATTAAGACTAGTATATTATACTATTTTTAAAAAAAGATAGATTTATAAGAAGAAGCTAGAAGTAAATAATAAAATTCTACGCTATAAGACTAAATATATTATTAAAGATTTTCTTTAATAAGAAGATATCGATTATAATAAAATCTTTTTAGAGATTATTAAGTTAATTATATAAAAGATTTTTCTAATTTTAATTATATACTATAATTAGAAAGTAAATCTAATTAATATTATAATAATATTTTTTTATATAAAATTTAAATATAAGATCTATATAGAATAATTAGAAAATTTTATTAAATTAAAATAAGATTAGATTTATTTACTATTTAGAATATTATATAAATTAAAATAATTTAATTATAAATAATATAATACGCTAGTAGAGTTTCTATTTAAAATTAAATTTATATATTTATAATTTAACTTATATTTATTTCTCTATTAATTAAATAAAGAAATTATCTTTCTAATTATCTATATCGATAATATTAAAATTATTAATAATTAACTATTAATTAATTAAATTAAGAGACTTTTATATAAATAATTTAATATCGTAAATTTTAATTTATATATATACTATCTAGATATAAAGATTAAAAGAAATTATTTAATAAAAATACTTAAAATAAGTTAATTTATATTTATTAATAAGATTCTTATAATTTATAATAGAAAGAAGTATTATATATTATTTATTCTAATAAAATTAAATATAAATAACTATCTCGTCTTTATATCTAATATATATATAATTAATCTAAAAGATATTATTATATTTAAAAGTAATTTAAAAGAAATTAATTATTTAATTATTTAAATATAATTAAATATAGCGTTTACTATTAATAAATTAATTATATTCTCTTTTAATTTAAACTATTAATACTAATAAGTATATAAAAAGATATTATAATACTTAGCTAAGATTAGAATATATAAAGTAATCTTCGAGATTATAAAAATAGTAATATTATAATTATTCGAATATTTAGATATTAATTAGATTGATAAGATATCTATAATATAATTAATAGTTAGAATAATTATAATACTAAACGATAGATTTATTAATTAAAGATTTATTAAGTAGAAGATTATAATATAATTTATATATAAAATTAAATATATAATTACTTCTAATATTATTTAGAATATAATATAAATATAATATATTCTATTAGAGCTTAAATAATAATTAAATAAACTATTTATAATATAATATAATAATAAGAAAGTTATTAATCTAGTAAAGAATTTTATAAATTATAAGAGATTACGCTATATTAATATTAGTTATTATTTTATATATAAATTAATAATTAATTAGATACTAAAATATAAATATATATTTATAAAAAATATCAAGATTAACGATCTTATTAAAGTATTAATTATTATAAATTTTAATAATTTTATTAAAATAATAAGATTAATAAATAAAGATCTAAATTAATAAGTTAGAATAATATATAATTTTAATCTTAGAATAGAGATATTTAAATATTACTAAATAGAGAAAGTATTAGCGTATTTAATTTCTTTTATATTCTATATATATATTCCTTCTATATTCTTTTATATATATTCTATTATTATTCCTTTTATATAGCTAGCTATAGATAATAGTACTTTATTCTCCATCAGCTACATAATAGCTAATGGCCCCACCACTAAATCTACACGCTTTCTATCATCACCACTGCTATACTACGCTGATAGAGCATCCAGTCTATGCCGATGCATACTGCAACGACACAATGAGGGCTATCATGGAAGATTTATCCGCACATATGGTCCAAGTGACCGCGTCATATGACCTGTGTCCAAGTAACGGAGCATAAGCCCAAAGGAGGCCAACTTCCGGTTAACCAAAGAGAAACTAGACATGCGAGTCTACCGATTCTTACTCGAAGCTATAGCCTGTCTCAAGAATCTCAGTGCTCAAAGCGGAAGGCATAGAGCAAAAGAGGAAGATTATGTTGCTAACATGAGATACGTAGATGGACTGTACATTTCGAAAAGCAGTGCGAGGAGGGGCGACTTCCCCTTCCCTACGTCCCTGATTGCAATGAGGAGGGTGCTAGCAATTTTGGTGAACTTGGACTCATCCAAGACTAAAAGATTGAATGGGACGATTGGTATTGTTTCTGCGCAATGTCCTTGTTTTAAGGAGATACGCCAATATGAGGGTTTTCAGCTACAATTCTTGTACAACGTGAGTTCCAGGAAAGATTCGCGAAACCCGTACGCTATCCCCATATTCACCACCTCAGCCCTTCAGCCTCATCGGTATCCCCAGCAACTAGCCTGACAACAAGTGCGCGAAACCCTTTTCCAGCGGCACCGTGGCACTTGTTCTTTTTCCGTAGTACCCAATAGAAGTGTCCGGTCCCTGACACGTGGGATCCGGAGAGAACAATTGGCAAAACCCAGCCGCAGACGCCAAGGCGCGTTCCGGATCTTGAATACAGGTAACACAGCAGTCATAGGGGTCATTGATGTTGGCTACTATCAAGCTGACGACACCTCGCTCTTAGGGTGAGTATCATACACTTGCAAACGAAATTTGGGTACGTTTCGTGGCGGCGCTGCCGAGCCTCTGGCTGAGAAGGCTGCATGTTCTATTATTAGAAGAAAATCCAGCTCCCGTGATCTACGCACATCCACGTATCAAAATGTGCATACCAGGTACCTATATCCTTTCTTTTCTGCTTGTAATAAGATTTCATACGTGTGTACCCCCTTTCGATTTTTGTACATCCCCTCAGATCGGGTCTCAGCAACCTTAAGCTGCATCGATGAAAATCCTTCACACCTTTTACCACTGGGGCAGTCAAATCCGTTCGCTGCAGCAGTATCCCAGAACAGAGCAACTTTAAGCTAGATTACGAAAATCCTTCACAGCTAGCCTCAGCGATTGGGCGGTCGAACTCATTTCCTGCAGGATCGTCTTGGAACACGAATTTTTTTGAGTTGCAGAGTCGTCCTGGAATACAGCAATTCTAAACTGCATTGAAGGAAAACCGTCGCACCTCTAATTGTCATGGTCTCCTGTTTGAGGACTGTGCCCATTGCTGCTAAGAACCATCATCTAAACTCACTCTTTCTTTCCAGATCTTTGAGCTCCAATCTTGTGGCTTGTCTTAGTCAGACATCCCAAAATCTTACACAAGGAGGAATATGTAATACTGCATTTCATGTGTTCTCGAAAGTGTGTGCACATACACAATCTTAGCTAGGGAGCCTATGGGGCTATGTATGCCCCTGGGCTACATTAGAGAGGGGCAGTATAAAGACCGATAAGGACATCAAGCACGCAATCCTTGGTCGAAGGATTTATTGCGAGGGTTTTTGTTCGCTGCCTAGGCAAGCAAGTCCGTTGCATGCAGCATGGCTGCGCCCCATTTCCGTGCGGAAAGCAGCAAAATCATGAGAAGTCCTAGACCGTCTCGAATCATGCGCAAGAACCTTGCGTATAAATATTCTCACCGTGCTACCTTGTGGATTGAAATCTCCTTACTTCAAATATATCCCATGAAAGTGATTCAGGATTTCGCTCGTTCCGTTTGAGCCGTGATGCCGCCCCTTTCCCTCTTCCTGTTCCAGACCCTGTTTCTCTCTGTCCGCGCTGAGATGGTTTCTTCTCGTGAGTCGTCAACCTCGAAAACTGAGTTCTGCGCACACTCTTCATTTGAAGAGTCAAGTCTATGTGCAGGAACGATCAGTGCCCAAGCTGTCAGCGCAGTCCGGCTAATTCTATCGTCCAGTCAAACAGCACCCTGTTACAGCTTCGACAGTCAACGTCTCTAGTCAACTGTTCCCCAACTCATCTTCGTTCAATGTTTCAGACTTCTCCTATATTATACCTTATGGCCAAACGCAAGACTGCAACATATACGGGCCCATCTGTCAGACCGGCTCCATAACAGTCGGAGTAGATCTGACTACCGCGACTACAAATACTGTACTACCATGCTCATCCTACCTCACTGCACAGTTTGCGTACCTGGAATATGAAGAATACAAATTTGAGCCCGGCATCAAAAACGTTTCGGGGTTGGTGAAGGAGGCGAATGATGATTGGGCGGGAGACATTTCAGTTATTCCAGGTCTGAGGGATTGGAACATAAACTTTGGTCATAGTCCGGAATGCAGATCTTACGCCGAGGCTATGAGGAGTGGAGAGTACTCATTTTCGGAGTGTGGTAGTAGCAATACGGTCGTTTCGGCCGGTTCGGGGGTTTCCTCCGCCTACCCTTTGGAGATACCCCCCGGAGTTGTACGAATGTTCGATGCTGAATACACTGGTACATGTTGCGGAAACTGCTCGCTGGATATACCGGAAGTAAGGCTTTACTACTTTCCGGACAAGAGCACTATCGACTGCCATAACAATCAGACGTCCGAATACCAGAGGTCCAACCTCACCTCGGTCGTGTCCGCTCGGCATTTAGAAAAGCGAGTACATTCGCTTATTGCCAATGGAAGTACTGCTGTGATTAGCGGACATACTTTGTAAGTAAAGCATTCTAATCTTCAAAATTGATCGCAAGACTAACGCGCGCGTGCTGTAGTACTTCTCCATCGATCTACCTCCAATTGATGGGCACAGCGGCGGTGAACGATCAATGTACTACAGTCGGCCCAAAATTGACCAATCCTATCCTCACTCTTCCACCTGGCGCGCTCACGACATGGAGGCCACCTCCTTTCGGTATAGAAGACGACGATACACTTAATTTTTTTATTGGGGATGTCTGGTCTCCTAAGGAGGCTTGGTTCGAGCTCGTGCCTGATGATGTTCAATATACGGCCCCGCTCGATGTCAAGGATCTGGCTTGCCCAACCTGGGGCTTGGGAACAAGTACCGCTGCCAATGGCACCATATTCACCACTGTTGGCCCGCCATGGCTTCCGTTGATCCAGCCGCCCATGAACATATTTTCTCTCAATCCAACGTGGGCGGCAATATGTACCGGGATATACAGTGATTTATTTGTTTTGAGTGCTTTAGATCTCTTTGATCCGCCAGTTGCCTTGACCCCTGCACCGTTGCTACTGCCAACTCCACTTCCGCGTCCTGCGCCTAAACCTGCACCCGCGCCTGCAGACCCGACAACGATATCAGAGCAGGCTTCACCCTCCGCTAAGGCCGCCAAACCAGCAACTATGCCCAACGATCCCTCGGCCCCTCCTGCAGAAACGGGGGACCCTGGAAAAGGTAGCCCAACGCACTCGGCAGCTGTGGCCTCGGCCGACCCAGCCGGGTCAGCTTTTCTGCCTCATGGGCCAGCAGACTCTCCAAATAACAAGGGCGACCCAGCCTCAGATTCACCATCAGCTCCACCGTCAGATCCACCGTCTGACCCTAAAGTACCTTCAGTTGCTGGAGACCCACCAGCAGATTCCATGGCACCTCCATCTGGTGCCTCTGATTCGCCACCAAATGATTCCCAAAATTCGCCAACAGATCCCAAAAAACACGTTGCTCCATTGCCACAAGGGGAAGACCCTCCAACGCAGACTCAAGGCCTAGGGGCAATCATCTACAACGCATTTGGGAGGTCCGGACCCGAAGTTGACGGATCCTCTACCATGTCGTTGCCTCCTCAATTGATCTTCACCGTAGGCGCTCAAACCTTCACTGCCAATCCAACAGGCTTCAAAGTCAACAACGCAGCCATTTCTCCCGGTGGCGCCGCTCGAACCGTCGATGGTACGATAATCAGCCTCGGTCAATCAGGAGGTTTAGTCATAGGCAGCAGTACTGTCACCCTTACAATTCCATCTGCTACACCCGTGTTGGCAGTGGCAGGCCATACTTTCACACCAAATCCATCAGCTTTCTCCATAGCCGGTACCACCATCTCCGCAGGTGGTCCCGCTGTCACAGTTGATGGCACCACCATCAGCCTCGATCAGTCGGGAGCATTGGCTATCGGTAGCACGACCATCGCTCTCAAAACCCCACCATCCTCCCCTTCTGCCAAAGAAGCATTCACTGTGGCAGGCCAGACCTTCACACCGGACCCATCGGCTTTCTCTATAGCCGGTACTGTCATCTCAGCAGACGGCCCGGCCGTTACAATCAGTGGAACCATCATCAGCCTTGGCCAAAACGGAGCTTTGGAAATAGGCAGCAGTACCATCTCTCTTCCAACCCCACCAGATGCCTTCCCCAGCAAAGTATATACAGTCGCAGGCGAAACATTCACACCCGACCCCTCCGCGTTTTCAATAGACGGTACCACCATCTCAGCAGGTGGTCCCGCCGTCACAGTTGGTGGAACCATCATTAGCCTCGGTCAATCGGGAGTATTAGCTATAGGCAGCTCTACGGTCGACCTTCTCCCTTCTAGTAGCGCATACACAGTCGCAGGCCATACATTCACACCCAACCCCTCCGCTTTTCCTATAGACGGTACCATCATTTCTGCAGGCGGTCCAGCCGCTACCGTAAATGGAACAATAATCAGTCTTCAACCTTCGGGTACTCTGCTTTTGGGATCAAGCACGATCCCGTTGACACCTCAGAAAACATTTTCATCTGATCCTGATGTTGACATCGATGGGTTCGATGTCAAAGTACAACCTTCCTCTGCCGTAGTGGATGGCGCAACACTGAGTGCCGGCGCGGCCGGTGTCACCGTTTCCGGAAATGTCGTCAGTCTGGAGGCTGGAGGTGGGACCTTGGATATCGGGACGGGGCATTTTGCACTGCCGACATGGACAGGGGCGGCAAATGGTTCGGTCGGTGCGCAGCCTTTTACGGGTGGGCAGAACAAGGGGTTGGAGGTGTCTTTGCTTTTGGTCTGTGGGGTTTGCGGGACATTTATGCTGTTGATGTGACGGTGATGTTATGAGCGTTGTTCTTGTACGAGAAATATATTCCCCAAAAGCGAGTAGGGTAGATAGCATTTGCATTGGAAAGGGAAGACGGCAGGTACCGGGATATGGTATGAGCTCTGGAGCCAATTCTGGGACGACGCTCGGGAAGTATGGCTTAAGCGGATATACCCACTATGTACACTCTTGGCTAGGGTATCAACTGGTCAGTATTTCCGTATCAAAAAGGTAACTCTTTCAACGGCACGAGTAGCTAGAAAGATCGTCATCGCCCCCCCAGTCCCGGATATCGAGTCACCTGCATGACGGTCCTCAAATCCCCAGGCAAACAAACCCTCATACACGGGATCGTCGAGTTCCACCGAACATGTCAAGATTGCGTCCGGGACGGCTGTTCCTTGTTATGGGACTGAAGTCGTCTTTTCCGGAATTTCAAGTCCGAAATGATTTCAAACACCGCCTATGGTTACAAAAGTGGAGCCAAACGGGCGCGTCGCGCTTATGTGATATTGTATGAATCTGAGATTAGAGTCCAGTATAGGCGTTAAGCCTGAATGTTTTGCCTAAAACATATACCACAAGTGAAGAACTGCGACGTAGCTATAGCTTATTTATTCGAAGATAGACTTTGATAAAGGGATTGCACTCAGATACGCTGCTCAAAATCGATTTAGAAGGTGAAAATTGCGATGTAAGAACGGCTTAATGATCTCAAGCGAAGGACAATCCAGATTTCAAGCTTAAACACTCTGCTCAAAAACGACATGTCAGTCTTTTCATCATTTTCCTATATTGAAGGACATGCACAAGGCGCTTGACAGTCAATAGGCGTCTATAGCTTCCGCGAACCACCCAGATTTAGAGCTGCTTTATTCTCCGATTCTTCAGCAGCATGGTTCAGAATGGCATGCCGAAGACATCTTTTCCATGTTCCTCGGCTTCTACTAAAGGTTACATTGCCACCAGCTTTCACGTTGTTTCTCTTCTACCGCTAGGAAAGCGTCTCTGATCCTAGCGATACTACAAGTTGTTGACTGATAGCTAGAAATGATATCTTTGAAAGCTCTCCGAAATACCATCGAGTTGACAACGGGGACCGTGATGAAGCATCATATCAGCCTTCTTCATATGCTGAGTATGGTTTGGGATTGTCGCCCGAAGGTTTTGGATGTGACATCATTGCAACCCCTTACCTTCCTTCACGAGCTTGATACCTTCCGCTTTGAGCTTGAATTTCTGTATTTTCCCACTTGCGGTTTTAGGGTAGTTGTCGACCCAGAAGACGTACTTGGGTACTGAAGGTTCTGTATTAGCTTCATGCCCGCACTTTCCTGTCGTCAGCAAATCATGAAAGACACCCAACATACTCAAATGATGACTCAGTTTCTCCCTAACCCACTTCCTCACCTCATCCGCGGTGACGCTTGTTCCGTCCTGCTTGACCACAAATGCAGCGACCACCTCTCCATACGTTTCATCGGCCAATCCAACCACACTGACCTCCTTCACTGCCTCAATCCCGAAGATACAATTTTCCACCTCCAATGGATGGATATTCTCCCCTCCTTTGATAATGATATCCTTAATCCTTCCCGTAATTTTAATGTACCCATCTTCATCCATCTCAGCCTCATCGCCTGTATGCATCCACACTTTGCCATCAACGTCAGCTATCATGACTTCCGCCGTTCGGTCGGGCGCACTCCAGTATTCTTTCATTACTAAATAGCCGTGGACTGCTAGTTCTCCCCTTTGGCCTACTGGAAGGGTTTTTGTGTGATCCATGGGGGCTACGACTTTAGCTTCGACGTGCGGGAGAAGCTTACCGACGCTATCGATCCGTTTCTCGAGAGGATCGTCTGTCGTTGTCATAGCAGAGACTGGACTGGTCTCTGTCATACCGTAGCAGATAGTCAACTCTGTTAGATTGAGTATCTTATGCAACTTCCGCATGAGCTCGGCAGGGATGCTTGAGCCAGCTGCGATGCCAGTCCTCAGGTGCTCGAACCCTGTATATGGTACTCTGTTACTTTGCAGCAGCTCTAGTTCGGCAATGAACATTGTTGGGACGCCATAAAGAGCCGTACATTTCTCTTCTTGCACAGCTTTTAATGTGGCGTAAGGATCGAATGCTTCAGTAGGGAAAACTATGGCAGAGCCATGGGTTGCGGTGGCCATGTAGCCGAGTATGCAACCAAAGCAATGGAAGAGTGGTGGCGGACAGCAGACTGTATCTTGCTCTGTGAGAAGCATACGGTCGCCGATACTTTTGCCATTGTTGAGGATCGAGTGGTGAGTTAGACAGGCGGCTTTGGGGAGAGAAGTTGTGCCTGAGGTGAACTGAATGTTTACTATTTCATCTGGATGTAGGAACTGCTTTGGTAGGGAGCTCGGCTCGGAGCCTTCGGAGAGGACGATGTTATAGTTGACGGCGGGTCTGAGAAGCGACGGATCTATGCGCCCCTGGGAATTGTCGACAATGATCACTTCTTGGAGAGACGGCACGGCTTCTGACTCGATCTTTCGGCCTTGAAGATCGGGTATCAACTGCCGAAGCAGCTGGATATTTGAGCGGGGCTCTTTGCGCGGTAAATGAGTCTCGGTACCAATTATTAAATGTGAGGCCTCAAGGTGGGCCAAAGCAGCTATGACTTGCTGGGCGTTGAAGCCAGGGTTCAGTGGCACCTTGTGCTAATGAGCTTTGCGTGTACGTCGACTCGAGAGAGACTCAAGTGAGGCTCAGCAAGGACCATGAGCTCACAAGTATTCCACCAATCTTGAAGAGGCCGTATGTTGCCTCGCGCCCTATCAGCCCCGTAGTCTCGTGCCTATTCCAAGGCCTCGTACAATGGCATACTCAATATTGTTCCCTAGCGACACAGCGACTCGGTCGCCCCTTTTCACTCCTCTTTGCAACAAACCCCGTGCCAAGTCATTGCTCTTTCTGTCGAGCCCGTCGTATGTCAGGCGCGTTCGTTGATGGCGAGAGACGACTCTGGGCTCCACGTCAAGCAATGTCCAAATGCGACTATTCCCGGAGCTTACGCTGTACGGTCGCCGTATCGAGAGACGATCGAATGGAAGTGCTCGCCCACAGTTTGCTCGAGCAGTGGAGGCTATCCAAAGTGAGTCATTAGACACGCAGAGAAGCGCCTGACTTACCTGTGAGGGACCTCGAGAATATGACTGGGTCAGCAGGCCTCGACGAGCCGGCCGGAAGTTGACTCGCGCAAGCTTAATGAATGATCTTGGAGCTGGCCGCATGGTCAATGGGCATCGTCGCCATTGAGCTGCAGCAGCGTTAGATCTATAAAGACGGAGGATGGCGATTAGAGATGTTGGTAGGCTACGAAGCGGGGAACGTCTTTAGTCATCGCCAAGCCTTTCTGGTGATTGATTTTTGGAAGGTCTCCCAAATCTGATTATAACCGTCTACTCGTATCAACGAACCCATAGTTCTTGTCTGCTTGTGCTTTCCTTTTTTATTAGCTTTCGCAACACTCCCTTTCAGCACCCATCTACGAGTAGGTCGAAATATCTCCTTCGAAGCTTCCAATCTGCACTGTAGTCTTTTCCTCTGAATTAATCAGATTCAAGAGAGGATTCCAGGACATCGCACGTCTTCCCAAGAATGAACACGATTCCCAGACGAAGGTACGTAACATGTCTCTTTGTCATATCGTAACGTGGAAAAGTCCCAGCGTTCCGGAATATACATGCGCCAACCTTTCCCCATAGCGCCCTTGAATGTTCCCATCCACAACGGATCGGTAAGACAAACGCACATCGCCATCAATTCCATTACTGCACCCTCTCACCCCTAAACGAAACCCACCTTTACCCCATTCCGACTCTGTACGGAAAACATGTACTCCTCCACGAACTCCTCCACGGGATCCCTGTTCAAGATGCCCTCAAACTTCCCCACAAATCGCGCCAACACAAACCCCATCTGACACAAAACCATCTGCTGCGCCGGACAAATCCTTCCCCCACCCAGAAACGGCACATAAGTCCAACCGGGTCGCAGAGCCCCCTCGATCCAGCGCTCGGGACGGAAGGCTTCGGCGTCGGATCCCCAGATGCTGGTATCGCGCTGCATGATGCCGAAGTGGGAGTCAACGTGGGTGCCGGGGAGGACGAGGATGGGGGAGGAGCCATCAGGTCCGCCGCCAAGAGGGAGGGTGGTGGTGTGAGTGCATGTACGGCGGGAGACGGAGGCGGGGGCGAGGAGGCGAAGACCTATGTGCGTGGGAAAGAAAGAAGTGTTATGAAAACTGTTTTAAAGGATGGTGGGCTGGTGTTTGACCTGGGTGCTTTGCTTACTTTCATTCAGGACAGCTTGGAGATACTTCATACTCTTCAGACTCTCAAACGTGATCGGTTCGTCGTGACTGAGGACCTCGACACGTAACTTAGCCCAGACGCGTGGATTTCGGGCCAGCTGGAAGAAGAGGTCGCTGATTGCGATGGCGTTTGCATCCCGGGCGGGAAAGAAGAGACTGATTATTTGGTCGCGGATGAACTGGCGGTCATTTGTCTCCTTGACCAGCTCATGTAGGAACGAGACTGGCTGTTTCTGATCCGCTGGGATAGTACTATCGGCATGGGCCGTGTCATAGCTCTGTTGCGGTGAGGAAGTTGCCTCGCTGTCGCATTTTTTGGATAGAGCGCGCTCGATATATCTATCGACGACGGCGTGGGTTTCTGCACATGCCTCTTTCCACTCTCGATCTCTTGTAACGCGACCCCATAGGAAGCTTAGACCCCGAAGCGACATACGTCGGTCTACGCCTAGCATTGCTCGGTCGAAGGAGGCGAGGAACTTCTCAGCGTCTAGTTTGGAGGAATGGGGAAGTAGAGTATCGGCAGATTCGGCGAACAGAAAGTCTGTGGATGTGTCGAGAAACTTAGGAAAGGAAACCATCAGCTTTACCTGCCAGCGTCCTCAATCGACTCGCATCTTAATGTACTTGAAGAATACTCGGTCACGAAAACATCACACCAACTCACCAGCCTCCTCAAAAGCGGCCTCAAATCCACCGTCTCCCCATTCCCCGGCACAAGTTCCATCATCCTCTCTAGATGCTCCCCAAACCTTTTCAAGTCCGCTATCTGCTTCCGCGCAAAAATCGGCATGACAACCTTCCTCGCGTGTTTCCAAATCTCGCCATCAGAAACAAAAACTCCCTCTCCAATCCAGCTTGCATTGGCTTGCTTCCTGATACCTTCAACGCCGAAGTTCTCGAACTCCGTTGTATTGATAGCTTGGATATTCTCTACGTCAGAGGTGTAGATTACGGTTTGACCGAAGACGTGGGCTTCAAATGTCTTTCCGTAGCGGTGAAAGAAGCCTTGAAGCGTATGCCTATAGTCGCCTTTAGCTTTGGTGGCCACAGTCTTTCTGTACAGGTCTAGCCCAAATATTGGGTCTTTGTGATGGTATTGTCGTGGGCGGCCGCACGTATAGCGCTTCATTAAGCGCCAGTATTGGAGGCTGGCTCTGGTCTTTTGGACCGCGAGATACAGAAAAGCAAGAAATAAGAGCCGCAGGCTAAAGCTGCTAGCTAAATCCATTTCTGCGATGAGAGTGAAAGGTCCAAATATTGACTTGAGCTGGTGACGACCAGTTGAGGTTCGGAATTTATCCCCACATTTTTCTTAGTCATCCGAATCCTCTGCAGGTCACAATTCACGCTCTATTGTGGCCATCAGGGAGGCTGTAAGATGGACTTCACAATTCATGGAGCACACTCATCTAAGGTCGAGAAGAACATCATTTGACCGTTCATCTCCAATATCCCTTGTCAAGCAGATTATTATGCATCTTTTCACTCATTTTTCATACCTCGATCCAGCTCCTTGCAATTACAACAACATCACCACACAACACACCATCCACCACCCAGATTTTCCTTTAAACCGTATTCCCCTGTTGCCTCATCTCACTCGAAAAGTAAGCCAACACGGGCTCCTCGAACTCACTGCATTTTCCATATCGTAAGAGCATGTAGCAAAAGTCATACCCAGAGGTTTGAGTCCAGTTCGCAACAGGAGAAAGCTATCTTTCTTCATCATGTGCGCACATCTCTGTGGGTATCGATCAGAACGTATCAGCTCTCTCTGTCAAAGGATACCAAAGTAAACAGAGTTAATCGCATTCAACTCCCTTGCAGGTACAATAACGACTTTACTTGGGGAAAAGTTCGTAAACAGGATCTCCAATTTCCGGCACCAGGTCTGGAGTTTACGACTTCAATAATTGTACTTGGACTTTTCGCTCTCGATGTATGAATTCGCTACCTTCCCTACATAGCGAACGTATCCACGGCCCCCACACCCTCCTATTCTCCCTCTCTTTCCTCATAACCGAAACATCCGCCTCCACCAACCCATTCTGCTACACCTTCGGCAAGAAGAGAATCTACAAAGTCGACCAGATGGTATTTGGAAGGATTTTTCGATGTGTTTGTTCTCGTGATCACTCAATAACTTCTAGTGTCACTCATTCCAGAGAGGGAAGTTGAAGGATCAAGCGGCTACAAGTTTAGCTGCATAGAACTTTTCCCCTCTTGCGCCTAGAACTAAGCCTGCACGCGGGTGACAGAAAAACCTACACACACCAAGAAATCCCTTCACCTTGTCAGCTGGAATAACTCAACGAATACCCTCCTTATAAATTAGACTTTGCGGAATAATATATTAGTGTTATCGAAATCCTTAAATCATAACGCAAAACCTTTCTGCTAGGGCTCTTCGTTATGAAATCATCATCAAATTTCTAATTTCAAGGTGTGCAGGTTTTTCTGTCACCCGCGTGGCCTGTTACCTCACTGGGGATAGAGCCGCTCCACCCTTCAGTAATACCAAGCAGCCATTCAAACCTGATGGTTTATATGCGTTATGTAGCCTTATGGAGAGAAGTAAAGGGAGGAAGAAAGGAAAATTGGACCCACCCAATTTTCATAGGTTGCGCAGGTAAGAACAACGCAGAAGGACGGATCCGACTACTGTAGGTTGCCTACTTTGCGAGATCCTGTCGTTTCCCTAAGCCCGGCGGTGTATCCATTTGCAATTAGACGAAAGACCTCATGACCAGATAAAATGAATGCAGAAGTCTGAAAGATAATTCGTTCAGGGTGCAGGACGGGTTGAGTGAGGCTGACTGAGGCTATCAGGTACGCTTATCTTCATACGTGAGACGGACTTCGAAACCTTGAGACGGCTTACACATTGACCTGTACCCACATATCTATCAACACGGATGCCCCTTGACATTGATTCTGCCTCGACACTGTTGCGCACATCACTCAAGTAGATTCTTTCCAGGATCAGAATCAACAAACAACTCTGATTTTCTAGATCGGCAGCTCTGTTCAGCAAAGCAGTCCAGCCAGCTTCTTCCACAGCAGAAGCTCGAATCACTTCACGAAATGCCGACCCAGTCCTCCCCCCCAGGGGCTCAAAAGCTCCGAAGCACCGTCCGCAAGCTCGTCAAGAAAATCAAACCTCCCAAGGAAGGACCCATGCCGGGGGAACTCGACTCCACGGAAGTACAGCTGGCCAGGTTCTTCGGCAAGCCTGTTGCTATTGCCTCCATAGCCAGCATGGAACATCCGTCACCGGCACCCTCACTCGCTTCATCATGCCCAACGGGGAGTCCTGCGACGGATTCATACAATTCGGATATAGCGTACGACTCCACCCGGACAGCGCACGTCACGGACCAGGAGATAGCAGAGGGAACGCAGGAGATGCTGCTGTGAGTAAAATTAATCGATTTAGACATCGCACTGGTCAGTCGTGATCAAGGTACTGACTCCGTGACGTAGGGACATTCGGCCGCTGTAGGGACGACGATTTCCTAGAGGGAGGATGGCAGTTTTGGAAGCGGCTTCTGGCAGAGGATTCTCGTTCGAGGCCATCTCGATCAGCAGTGCGTTTCGAATGGCAAGGGCCATGGGTTGTGTACGACCAGCAGTGAGAAGCAATGGAAACGGCGTTCCAGGTGGGAGTCACTTAATCTCATGCCTTATTCTGGGCAAGCATTGTATCTCCTGCAATTTTTGACACCACTTCTCATGAACCATCCCGACCCCAACTCACGTCACGCTCTTACGCGACGCGAAACTTCCCTTCCGGAGCGTAAGCCCCCCCCTGGTCCAAATTGTCCCCTTTCATCCATAAACTGCATATCAATCTCCGCAAACCCATAGTCAACTCCCACCAGCATCAACCCCGCGAACCAGAATCCCAGATACCCATGATTCAACTGCGCTTGCGGCATCTTCGTCATCGTCACAGAGCCATAGCTGAAGAAGCGGGTGGCGTCCAACCTAGGTGATTACCATCTCTGGTCCGCTGTTGCAGTAAAGGAATATGAGAGACGCAAGACGGAGGGGGGAGGTTATTTGTGAATACAGGAACATCGGGATCTTGGGTATTTAGCACCATCTCCCGCATGATAACCACTGGTGCTTTCAGCAGCGCTGGTATGGCGTCGGCCCGTGAAATGGAATGGCCGTAGTCTGTGAACATGATGTGCTCATTGGAAAATTCCTAGTCGGGTGGGACGTGGTAGCGGAAGGGCTCGGGAGGGAAGCTGGGGCTAGGATAGGGGTCAATGCTGTAGTTGTGATCGGCGAGGATGACTGGGTAAGTATACAGGGAGAGCGGTTTACTTCTTTGAAGGGTTCCGAGATCAGAGGGTGGTATTCGACGGGTTAGGGAGATTTTGTCCGTTGAGAGAGATCGTCAAGGCTGAGAGCGAGTCAACGAGCAAGGCAGGCACAAAGGTGTGCAAGACCTGAAGGTAACCCATCTCCACGGTCGATTGCTGAGCGTTGTAGAGAAAAGGGTTGAGCGCTGGAAAGGGAGGCAAGGACTGCAAAGCAGAAGATGATGCGAAACTGGTGACGATCTGAACATTGGCCGTATACATTGCCAAAGAGTGCAATGCGGCAAGCGCACAACGCTGGAGATCGCGGCTCGGGGTTCTACTTCCGCAAGAGGACGTGATGCTGTTCTAAGCGACTGATGGAGGTCAGGGAGTCAATGTAGCGCACTTTTCCTGGTGTATACTGCTATAATGATAAGCTTCGCTAATGCTTGACCGCTTAACTGTACAATTATTGACCTCCCACCTGTGCTTCAGGTCGATTGGTTTCATCAGCCGCCTTCGAAGGCGAACCCATCTCGTCCTGAACGCCTTTCTTTTCCTGAACCGCCTGCTTCAGTATCCCCAACTTCTCCTCGGTAATCATGATCGCATGATCAACCTCCCTCTCACTCATTTTCACATCCGCTAGCTTCGAGCGCAAGCCTTTGTTTCTCAAGCTCTGCTCTCTTTGTCTTCTTGCCTGAGCAACTACGTCTTGATCACTGCTTCCTGGGTATGCTGCGCCTTGCATACCAACGCGCTCCTCCAGCCAGTCCCACAAGTCGCTCTCTTCTTTACGCCAGATTTCCTCGTACGCCGCAATTCTCTGTGCAGTGGGAATGTAGGCTAAGCTGTTGCCCGATGTGGAGGATCGAGGACCACGTAACCAATTGAACAGTATGATAAATAGGAGAAAGCCGATTACCATATTGGAGCTGATCATTGGACTGAATATATCGACAACGGGACCTAGAATACCATGCAAAGGCTCGAACAGTCCCCATGAGCTGTCTTTCGGTTGAGTACCAGTGGCGACAGCTTTGACGCTCGCTGGAGATGTCCGCGCAAGGTCGGCATCTCCCTTTCTGCGTTTACCTTTTGACTTGAGCTTCGAGCCGTTGGTACCAGCTCTCGGTCTAGACGTGACGCCTGCTTTCAAGGCTTTGACTAGGTCGTTGCAGTATGTTGTCTGTCCATCATTCGCGCCTTTCTCGATTGGTCCTGTCACAGCTGTGTCAGCTACGATGTCTGCATGAGTACATTACACGTATTGATCTACCTTTGAGCCAACTCTTACCAGTCCATTCAATTGTAAAATTGATGACCAGCCTCGTGGCGTTACCTGGTGCCCACATTAGACAGAAATGGGTTTTAGTAGCAAAGAGGTTGCCGCTGGGCACATCAGGGGTTTGGGTAGACTGTGTTACGGACACTGCTTTCTCCAGGTCGAAAGAGTCCAAAGTCTCGGTGACGACACACTTCGTTGATTTGGGGCCAATCGAGGCGTTGAGCGGCTTGATGTAGGAATAGTTGCGGGTTCTATTATCTTCCGAGAGACCTTTCTTATCATCCTCCATTGTGAGGTCCGTTACCTTGATCTCATCAAGAAGCCATTTGGCCATAAAGCCTCCAGATGCGGCGCCAAAAACCATAGCATAGACTTTGCCCAGGGGGGCTGGGATAATGTCATCCTGGAGAGGCCTCTCATAGTGGGAACCTCCATCGCCGCACTCGGTTGGCGCGTGTGTCGCTGGACCTGGAAAGTCGGCGCTTGCAGCACTCGCGGCTGCGGCTTTTTCGCCTGCCTTTGACTCGCTCGGAGTAGGCCCGCCACCGGCTGCAGCACCAGCTGCCACACCCATCGCCGACGCTTTCCGAGTGACTGCTTTGGATTGTTGATCAGCCGCAAGCTCACTGCCAGCAATACTGCCCTCAGGCACCTCAGTGAAGCTGCCGGTTCCTTCATCATCGTCTTCGTCTTCATCATAAATTTCCTCCTCTTCGTCGCTGACTTCACTGGCTTCATCACTACCACTAGGATCGACCTTTTCAGTCTTATCACCCGTCCCGCCTTCAAGTCTTACACCGTTGAGTGAGCTCTTGAGTGACGGGTGGTTAATCTTCCAGATACCAATTAACAGATCGTAGGTCGCTTCTCGGCTGAGTAGACTTCGGAAGGTCTGTCTTGCATGTAGGGTCTGGATGGCGATAGCATTGGGGAACACCATTGCGGTGTTCTCTTTTTCCACAGACACAATCTCGTCGAAGCTGATGATCAGCGTAGTCACCCAGCCAAGGATATTGCTGGAAAAACATATATGGCCTTCAGAGACATATATTCTCCCAGCCAAGATAATGTCTCGCTGCAGAGCACAGCTGTAATCCTCAATGAGATAGTCGTCTTCTGGGACGCTACGAAACAGCTGGTGGAAATCGCGATTACGTTTTTTGCTTGCTACAGCAAAGCCGGTAGGTTTGGCAGTACCGCCTGAGGCCCCTGGATTTGCTAAGGCTGCGCTGCCTGCTGCTATGGCGGCAGCAATGGTACCACCCGTGGCAGAAGAGCTATTCCGGTGTCGTTTAGCGATGGTACCGACTCGGCTACGAACGCTGCCACTGCGCCGAAAACCATTATTTCCTTCATACACACTCCCATTCGGAGGGGTCTTGTCACCCGTCATAATACTTGATTCGTAGGTTGATCTTGGTCTGACAATAGGCGCCACGTCTTCAGCAACGGGTGTTGACGCATTCTCTTCCGTTGGCTTTAAGCTATAAGCCTGAGAGACAGCACGGGCAGCAGAAACGTTCTCTGCTTGAGCAGCAGCTTCTTCCCGCTGGACCGTCGAACCTTCTCGACCTTTTTCAGACAAGCCGTTCGGAAGTGTAGTGTTGGAACCAGTATTCGCAAGAGGTGCATCGGAGCCTATCCCTAAGTGGCTCAGACTTAGATCACCAGCACCTAGAGTCTCCACCGCTAGCTTCTTTTGCTCGTTCACAGGCGCATCTTCTGCTACCATAGCCGTCACTCCATCGGTCTGCTCATCGTCGTTCTCTTCAATTGTCTGTGTAGAGCTTCTTGACCTTGTCTGATTATTTGCAATTGTGCTGCTCAATTGATTGGCTGCATTCTGGGCGGCTGAAAAGACAGACGAGAAGAATCCTCCAGCCTGCGAGCCTTGGGACGGGGTTCGGGCACCTGGAGTTCTCTCTTCAGCCATGGGTGTGAGCGGAGCAGACATGACGTTCGACAGCTTGCTTGACGCCAGGGTGCCCGAATCGGACCTGACGCGACGGTGAGCGATCGTGTTATTGGAAGAAGATACGGCCATATTCGGATTCGTCCTTGCGGCGCCTGCAGCCATAGTCTTTAGTGATGGACTACTCGGTACATCTTGGCGTTGGTCGATCGGTGTTGGGGGCGTGACATGCGTTTGCGGAGGGTCGAGCGAGGCACTTGTAGGCGTATTGGGAGTTGTGACAATGGTAGGGAGATCTCGTACACTGGCAGAAGGGCTTTGCAGATTCGAGGCTACCGACTCTTTGCTGTCGGAAGCCTTGGAAGATCTTCCCAGGTTGATACTGTTCCTCTTGTCTTTGCTGAATAAAGCTTGGAGAGCATTTCCGCTACCAGAAGATATCACTGACGCGCGATCTGGGCTCTTTGGCGGACTTGAGTCTTTTTTCCTGGATCCAACCGTAAATACATCTTTTATTCTTGCACCTGGCGAGACCCCTCGGCTCTTACTGCCATCTCTAGTGTTAAGAGTTCTCCCACCATCCCTAGTGTCCATCGTAGGAGCATAGTTGGGTGCCAGGTTTGTGGTTGAGAATGTGGTACCACCTGTCACCGGTAGCGTGGCAGACTTTTGATATTGAGGGTTCTGGAAAGTGGGACTGTCGAGTTGAAGATTGCTGGGTGTGTCGCCGTGTGTGGTGGTGTTGATCAAGGGCGAGGAGGATGTCAAGAAGCCAATATGCGATTGATGGCTTACGAGCGGAGGAGGCGAGACAGTAGGTCTTCGTTAAGATACCAGATTAGCACAGAAGGATCCCATGTATCAACAATCAGGCGCCGGATACTACTCCAAGACAAGGCTTCGCAGAAGCCGCCAAAGGACTTGGGTAAGAATGAACAAATTAAAGCAATGGCAAAGAAATAGGGTGGGTCTGTAAAATGAATCTCGAGATATGTGCTCTAGATGTTATTGCGTCTGCAGCTGAAGTGCGAGGTATGTACGCTGCGGATTGCGGACGTGCGCTTACGCCTCTCAGGTCTCAGGGTCGCCGAAGGCTTGGCAAGCCTGGAAGACAAGAAGAGTGGG